AAAAAAAAAAAAAAAAAAAAGGCCAGACGCCGAATGACAGTTTCATTTGCCCTCCACCACTTAAATAAAGGGGCAGGGTCAGTGACATCACAAGGGGCAGGACCACCCAGTGCTATCATTGACCATATATGGATATGTTCATATTTTGTCAATATAGTCACAAGGGGTGGGGCTACGTTTATACAAAATGTATGTAGTAAACCCTCTACAAATGGAACTTGGGCAGATCTATTCATTCCCATTTACAAGTATCAAGAGTTCTGTATGTTCATTTTTATTAACCAAGATATCACCAGTTAAGTGGTTTATGTCAGTGTACAGTCAGTTTTTCCCCCCCCATTCCTTAGACCTGCAAAAAAGTTTTCTTACATAGGTCACTGTAGCGATCACTGCACTATGACCTGGGATAGGAGTAGGGTATATCAGATATAGACATACCTTCCCTTCCCCCCCCCTGGAAGATGAAGTGGAACACTTTCCTTTTGAGCAGCTACCAATCCCTCATTCATGTACAACAGCTGGTGGCCCCTCTTAAGGAGCTGACCTGGTGACAGAGTATGACCATATAGATGGCAGAGCACATGTCAACCAGAAGTTAGCACAGTGTGTTCTGGAATTTGTACTTTCTCCTTGCTATCTAACACCGAGGATCCTTACATGGGAGGACTGAAATGAGGAATGCCTCTCTGTTTGCTTTCCTGTGGTTTATAGGTGGCCTGCTGTCCTGCAGTTCACCTTCTGGAGATAGATGCTGAACCATATTGATTTTACATGGATGCAAACATTTCTAGATGCTAAGGGGAGCTGTAAAAATGTGAATAATTTTTCAAATGGAAGTTTATTCATCTGTTACCATATGTCACTGGCACAGTTAACCAGTACTAATGGGTCACCACTGGATAGGTCTGTGTGTGGGAAGCTGCAGACTACACAAGAATGTACACAAACCTAACATAAAACTGCTCTGAATACTACCACTACCAGAAGGGGCTGGAGATGGATATCCATGGGTTCCACCAGGAATGCCTAGCTGGTGCAGCCCTCCTCAGATGGGGGAATCCTATAGCAACTACAAAAAAGAAAGAACGATGGCACCCATACCTAGTGCATTACTAGTTATTTATTTGTAAAAAAATCCAATAAGTGCCAAATGGGTTCTCACAGAAGTAGAGGAAGAAATAGCATTAAAAACACATGATGCCACAATGAATGGAAACCGCATGTATCTAAGTAACCCTGCCAGGCTAGCAAGCTGACGTGTTTCAGGTGCACCCCCTTCGGCAGAGCTAAGCTATCCAGCATAAGTTATGCTTAGATATATATATATATATATATATACTCTCATCACACCGGCCCCTCCAGTTGTAACATAAGCTTCTCTTTACAAGACTTAAACAAATTTTGGCTGCACATCCACTTTGAAATGGATTTAATTAACAAAAAGGTAACTAAAAAACGGGGGGGGAAAAAAAAAAAAAAAGACATTTACATATTGCAGAATTCAATACTTGGTAGAAAACCCTTTGGCTGCAATTACAATCATTACAACTTTGCACATCTGGATACTGCCCTTTTTCCTTGAAAAATTGCTCTGGTTCTCCCCCTCCTGCAGACAACTTTATCAGGCTCTCCCATCCAATCAGGGGGTACGGCGAGGATGCCTATGGCAGCATCAGTTTCTGCGGACACAAGGAACTGATGTTGTTCCTTCCACTGTGTAACATCAGAAACCAGAAGCATTGAGGATCTTTTCCAGTTTTTGTTTGTCTAAAAGCAGGTACCAGCTCGTGAAGCAGCAGATCAAACCAATTTCAGTTTCATTTGCTGCCTTAGGTGTCCGTTTATGACACAGAGAATAGCTGCGATTCAACGGATCTCAGCTATTCTCTGGTCATTCACAGTTTATGACACTCAGGAGATCATGTCAGCCCTTCTCTGGAGATCTGTGTTCTCCCTCCAGATTCTCCAGCCCAGAGCTGGAGAATCAGAGGGACCACAAACTAAGCAGAGATAATTTACCTCTGTTTAGTAAACTGATCTTTTACTGTAATCTCACGAGATTATAAGTAAAATCAGCCGTTTTCCAGAGTTTGTAGACCGTTCTCCAGCGTTTGGAGATCGTTCTCCCTTCATTTGGAGAACTGCTTCATAAACTGCATTCACAGGAGAACTGTGTTCTCCGAGAATGCCGGAGAACTGAGCAGCGATCTATTACTGCTGGTTCATAAACGGACACCTTAGAGGCCAGAGGAGAGATCTGAGATCTCATAGACACCAGATCTCCATAAAGGGGTACTGACACAGCCCATGCTATCACAAGGGATGACGTTAATCCCTTGTGATAGCAAAAAAAGTGATAAAAGGTACAGTGTAGGAATTAAAAAAAAATATTAAAATAATTTTAAAAAATGTAAGCGCCCTCATGCTCAGGTACAAAGGCAATTGCACACGTTGGTCCACATGCATATGTAAACTGAAAAATCGCACTACACATGAGGTCAGGGTTAGAGCAATAATTCTTGCAGCAGGCCTCCTGTGTTACTCTAATCTGATAACCCATAAAGACTTTTAAATTGTTGCCTATGGATAATTTATTGTACCATACTTTGTAGCCGTTCCACAGATGTACATAATTTTAAAGCTTGACATGTTGGGTAACTATTTACTCAATGTAACATCATCTTTTATATTTTGCCAAAAGATTGGGTATTATATTGGGTTTGTGTGCACTAAAATGCATTAATGTGTATTTTGTGCTCTAGGGCCTCTGCTTAAAAAAAAAAAAAGTATATATATATATATATATATATATATATATATATATATATATATATATACATACATACATACACACACACACACACACACACACACACATATATATATATATATATTCTAGGGTGTGAGCTTTATATATGAAAAAAAAAACATGCAATGGGGCCCTCCTCCTGCACTGCAAAGGTTAAATGCCCACCTTATACCTCATTCCAGGAGGCTTCCATGACTCACCCCCTCTCTCCCTCCAGGTTATGGGTGGGCCCTTTCCACATGCAATGCAGAACTATCAGGGTGCCGCTGTATGACTGGAAGAGCGCCTGACAGAAGAAGCTTCAGTTGCACAGCCTGGAGGATGGCTACCATAACAAGTCCAGAGGTGGAGGAATAACGTATAATCCTTTTATTCCTTAACAAGCATTTAACCCTTGCAGTGCAGGGGGATCCCACTGCAAGGGTATTTTTGACTGTTGCCCTGAGTGGGGTGGATACTTCTCATTGCTACAGAAAAGGTTTATTCCTTGACAGAATTACAAACAAATGCTTCATGTGCAGCAGAAGTTTCCATTTCTTTACAAAAAAAACACAGTCGCCATTAGCCATAAAACAGATACTGCAAAACCTCAAAATTGTAAAGTTGGCCAGCTGGTATGGCTACCATGTTCTAATGTTACCTGTCAGGATATGAAAGCGGCCATCTTCATAATGAGGAAACATACTACTACTATCACGTCTTAGTGACAGGAAGCTAGGGAAAATCCCAAATTGGACATCAATAAAAGACTGGTTTGTTTTCTCTGAGGTTCCATAGCAACATTATTATTATACAGTATTTATAAAGTGCCAATAGTTCGCTCAGCGCTGTACATTACAAAGGGGGACAGAACATGTGACAGAACAATACCAATACAATGCAAAACATGAGGGGATTGAGGGCAACATGAAATCTTTTAGATGTTATCAGTACAAATCTAAACTATTGAATTAAACATTGGACAGCTGTGGAGAAGATATTTATGTCCAAGAAAAGGTGAGGAGCTGTTCTGATGTATGAAAGCTCCCCAGGCCTAGGCAGACATGAAATCTAGTAAGTCAACCACAAAAATGAATTTCACCGGATAATTTGTACCGCTGTGGTTATGACACCTGGTCTAAAAGTTTACAGCCACCATGACTAATATACCAACTTTTCCACAAAACCATTAACTGACCCTAGGGGTCATTTATTTTTAAGAGACCGAAAAACATTGTGGGAAACATGATGATAACACAAGGTGCATACAGATAAATTAACCAACTTCCTTCTCACAATTACTGTAGAGTTGTGCCCGACTCTGCCACCTACTAAGATTGAGGAGTCCATTTACATACAAATCAGGAAGGGAGAGAAGCTTGACTTTTACAGGAAAATTCTAGATGTGCAGCTCTCTATAGATCTCTAGATCTATTAATCATTCTGATCAGTTTTTCCCTGAAGGTAACAAATTTATGGGGGGGGGGGGGGTTTCATCACAGGGCGAGTTTGAATTGCCCAGGTGTATAACCTCTAGGAGTCAGCAAGATCCACGTGGGGTCTGGCCCTTCTAATAAATTTGGTGACACAGAAAGCACAGGAAGGAAAGATCCTGTTAAAGCAAACCAGTCAGAAAAAAAAAAAAGTGAGCTGCCAATGTTGACTTGTTGTTAAGATTATGTACATTATGTTTCCTGTCAGATCAACAAGGAGTAAAGCAAGATGGCCCTGGAATATGCACAGTGAAAGAAAAGTCAGTGATGACAATCCCTGTGGTGCGAGTGGTTTTTGCTTGTCATTTAGAACTGTTAAATCTAGGACATGCTGAGCAGGAAACTGGCCACATGTCGTTCCTATTAGTTTTACTTTTTTCTCCATTCTACAATAATGTTTTTCACAGAAAGTTTTTTGGTTTTTTTTCCTGAATGTATACTGAAGCTATATGGACAATTTAGACATAAAATATTCATGAATCAGACATATAAACTAGAAACCAAATAGAAAAAACTATGATCTATATACTATTTATAGACATATGGATATATTTGTATATAAATGAACAATTATATAAAGATTAATCTATAAACACACACACACTGTATAGTAAAGTACACTATATTGCCAAAAGTATTGGGCCAGCCCTCCAAATCATGTGATTCAGGTGTTCCAATCATCTCCATGGTCACAGGTGTATACAATCAAGCCCCTAGGCATGCAGACGGCTTCTACAAACATTTGTGAAAGAATGGGTCACTCTCAGGAGCTCAGTGACTCCAAGCATGGTACTGAGATAGGTTGTCACCTGTGCAACAATTCCATAAGTGAAATTTCCTGGCTACTAAATATTCCACGCTCAACTGTTAGTGGGATTATAACAAAGTGGAAGCAACTGGGAACAACAGCAACTCAGCCACCAAGTGGTAGGCCACGGAAAATGACAGAAGAGTCAGCGCATGCTGAATTGCACAATACGCAAAAGTCGCCAACTGTCTGCATAGTCGAAAGCTAATGAACTCCAAACTTGGTGAGGCCTTCAGATGAGCACAACAGTGCGTAGAGAGCTTCATGGAATGGGTTTCCATGGCCGAGTAGCTGCATCCAAGCCTTACATCACTAAGTGCAATGCAAAGCGCCAGATGCAGTGGTGTAAAGCACGCCACCACTGGACTCTAGAGCAGTTGGACGTGCTCTCTGGAGTGCCAAATCATGCTTCTCTGTCTGGCAATCTGATGGACATATCGGAGTTTGGCAGTTGACCAGGAAAATGGTACTTGCCTGACCACAATTTGCCAAGTGTAAAGTTTGGTGGAGGGGGGGATTATGGTGTGGAGTTGTTTTTCAGGGGTTGGGCTTGGCCCTCTAGTTCCAGTGAAGGTAACTCTTAAGGCGTCAGCATACCAAGAGATTTTGGACAATTTCATGCTCCCAACTTTGTGGGAACAGTTTGGGGATGGCCCCTTCCTGTTCCAACATGACTGCACACCAGTGCACAAAGCAAGGTCCATAAAGACATGGATGAGCGAGTTTGGGGTGGAGGAACTTGACTGGCCTGCACAGAGTCCTGACCTCAACCTGATAGAACACCTTTGGGATGAATTAGAGTGGAGACTGCAAGCCAGGCCTTCTCCTCCGACATCAGTGCCTGACCTCACAAATGTGCTTCTGGAAGAATGGTCAAACATTCCTATAGACACCCTCCTAAACCTTGTGGACGGCCTTCTCAGAAGAGTTGAAGCGGTTATAGTTGCAAAGGGCGGGGCCAACTCCATATTGAACCCTACGGACTAAAACTGGGATGCCATTAAATTTCATGTGCGTGTAAAGGCAGGCCGACCATTACTTTTGGCAATATAGTGTATTCCACATTCACTGCATTTATGGTATTCTATTAATGTTCATGCAAAGGCAGGTATCCCGATACTTTTGGCAACATAGTGCATCTGCCACTAATATTCAGCATTCAAGAGACCAATTCTTCTTAACGAGGATATAAAATTAGCTATTTGGGTATAACGATAGTATTCAATGGGTGGTAGGTAAATCATATTTTTCTTTAAGGTAATGCATGGTCTGGATCCCTCTATGATCATAAGAGTCAGCTATGTGTAATAGCCCCTTGTTAGTCCACCGTGTGAGTTGAAGGGGGATGAGACCCAGGGTGAATACGGGATTTGCCAATGATGAAGAGATCATTATTTCTGACCAACAATCCAACTCCATGTGCAGAAATGCAGGCTCAAACCTGCAAGGGACCTCCACCATGCTTTAATGTTGCCTGCAGACACTCCTCCTTCTGTAACAACCAAATATTTGATCAGTAAGTCCAGAACACCTGCAGCCTTTATTTTTGCAGACTGGTTTTTGTACATAGGCATGTCTCTTGACCTTGTTTCCACATCAGGAGGCAAAAAGCTTCCATGAAAACCATTTCTGACCAGTCTGTGCCAGTAACCTTGGCTCCAGCAACTAGTTAGTAGAGTATGGCTTCTCCCCACCCAGATTCAGTCCTCCTACACAACGGATTCGGTTTAATTCAATGATCTATTTACTATATTGATATTTTAACCTGCATGTTATCTTGTTGATCATTAACCCTTGTTTGGTATAATTGTTCCATCATGCACTCCACCATACGCCTGTATAATCATTCACTATGTGCAAGTGAACCTAAAAAAATAGAGTGGACATACCAAATATTTATTTTGATTTAGTTTTCTTTTTCTGTGTTTGTACTTTGTATGTTATATTTTATAAATAATTGGCATGGGTGGTGGAAGGTAGATATGTTTCCCCATTATTTGGGTTGTGGTCCTTTTACAGGGGAGGATTTGAGTACAGCTTGGAGTACTCAGGGGTTCTTACCCATGCAGGTAAGGAATTACAATTAGAAAGGGGGGAAACGGACTTAGTTTTCCGAGACTATCAAGTCCTTGTATGGGATCCAGAATCTAGAAGGCATTCTCCTTTTCCATACATTTGCAAACATTTCTATAATTCTGTTTTCACTTTGTCATTATGGGGCATTGAGTGTAGAATAATGAGAAAAAAATTAATTTGAACAACTGATGTATCAGGCTGCAACATATCAAATCTGAAGAACAAAATGAAGGGGGTGGAATACTTTATAAATGCACTGTAGACGTATATGCATATTACTTGGAAAGGCAGCTCAGACATCTATAATTAAAAAGACGTTTATTATACGCAGATAATTCTCTTACATACAGAGAACACTACCTGATGTAGCAATGTTTATCATTAAAATTCTTCCCCAAGATTTATTAACACATAAAAGATATTCAGTGAGGTTAATATGACAGCTAAAGCCTCATAAACCCAACACAAACATTAGGATATATGATGTAACCTTATATAAAGAGAGGGGTCATATACATATATGCATTCCCTGTCTCTACAAAGTAAAAGTGCTTGGGTTCACATTTCAGACAGGTTTAAAATTTCTCTGCCCCGGCGGTCTGGAGGAAACCCCCATAAAGTCTCTGCACTGTCTGTACATCCCGCGCATGTTGCAGCAGTAGAACCACATGTAGTGCAGAGTATACCTCTACTGCATTTTTAGGACTTCCATCATTTTGCCTAAGGCTCAATATCCAGAATATCAAGGAATTGACAAAAGTAAAGACCGTGGGTACATTGCATAAAAAACAAACACGAAGAAAGAGTCCGCACTCCCTCCAGACATCCAGATTTAAAGTGTTACTAATCCCAGGACCCTGCATCCATTATATCTGGTCTCCCTGGACCCTGCGTCCATTATATCTGGTCTCCCTGGACCCTGCGTCCATGATATCTGGTCTCCCTGGACCCTGCGTCCATTATATCTGATCTCCCTGGACCCTGCGTCCATTATATCTGATCTCCCTGGACCCTGCGTCCATTATATCTAGTCTCCCTGGACCCTGCGTCCATTATATCTGGTCTCCCTGGACCCTGCATCCATTATATCTGGTCTCCCACAGTATACAGAATATGGAAATGCTATTTTTCTTTAGTAAATATAAAATGCTAAATACCTTTTCTCATCAGCCGTTAAGCAGTCTTGTGACTTCTATCCAGCCCACCACTAGCTAAAGCTTGTAGGAGGAGTTTTCTTTCTTCTTCTGCTCTAGGAGGATGCAGAGCCCCTGACCTCTGTCTGGATACTGCTGATTGGCCCTGTGCTGACCTCATGCACACTCCCAAGAAAAAAAAACCTCTCTAGCAATACACAGCAAAGTGAGCATGTGCATGCCAACGTGCCAGTCTAGAGATAAGAGGCCTTCACTTAAAAAAGAGGAGGAACAGAAAACAGGATCAAAAGGCTTTTTTACACAGTGCAGAGGATTAACCCCTTAGGTTCCACAAGCATGCTTTACTGCATATACAGACCGATTTTACTGTTGTGGGTTTGCAACTCCAGTTTCCAGGGAAAAGAAAAAAACACGCCCAGCAAAAAAAAAGTAGAAAAAAATTTTCCTACAATACTCACCTTTAATCTGACATTGTCTAGCAGGTGAAATGACAACCAGTCTCATTTAACCCACTTCCTCAGAGTCCAGACTGCCAAGGCCCACTTCCTGGGGGTGCCTAATACCAACCTGGCCCCAAGTATTACTGGTACTTAACACCCCACCCACATCATTATACAACATTGCAGGAGTACGAACTGCACACTGCTACCTCTGGAAGGAAGAGGAATGACCACATCACCAGACCAGCCAGAAGTACCTTGGGAAATAAAAAATAAATTATTTCCAAAATTCCTAATTTTAAGTGGGGGGGAGTCAACAAAAGCTGGAGGTCTACCTTAAACATGCAGTGATTTCAAAACCAGTCACACTGTCAGTGGTCACGTGTTAGGGGAAATGTGTGAGATGTAGACTAGACAGCCTCTCTCTTATATGCCGATCCAATTCTTGTGATGTCCACAAATCTTTCACAGCCTTGCAGCTCCCACTAGAGCAGGGGAATCTTTAATTCTGAAAGAGATTGCACCGGCCTAGTGCATCACCTGCTTACGCCACTTAAATGTAAAATGTTTACTAGAATACAAAAAAAAAAGTATTAGAATCACAAGCTAGCACCTTTTGCATCCTGTAGCAGTTGATAAAAGCGGTCTTTTAATTGAACAGACCCTGTATTTGGGACAAGGTGATATATCCCAAATTTGAGGTCTCTCCCCACCTCCAGAGACTAAATATTAATCGCTTTCCTGCCACCCTATAGAAGATATACTGCTACACGGCGGCAGGAGTGCGCAAAATTGATTTAGCATTTACGGGGAGGAGACGCACACACGCGCCCTATCCACACTGCTGTTTGCGGCCTTGGCTGTCAATCACTGGGTCTCGGCCGGTGATTACTCACCGACACCCGGTGATAGCGGAGCATTACCAATGGAGGGAGACAATTGTAAGTAAATACATTTCTCTTCCCTGTCAGCTCCTGCACACTGCTTTATATGGCTCTGCATAGCACAGCCATACAAAGCAGTGTGCTTACAGTTGAAAGCACTCACACAGCACACAGTAAAAAAGTTAACCCTTTTATCGCCCCACGTTAACCCCTTCCTGCCTAGTGCCATTAGTAGTGTCAGTGCTTTTTATTAGCACTGATCACTGTATTGGTGTCACTGGGGATGTCAGTGACACCAAGTAATTTCCCCCCAGTGTCAGAATGCCTGCCGCAGTCCTGCTATAAGTCGCTGATCACCACCATTACTAGTAAAAAAAAAAATTATTCCAGTATATATACACCACCATTTATAAACGCTATAATTAATTAATTTACACGTATTGGGATTATTTTTTAGCAAAGACATGGAGCAAAATACATTTTGGCCTAAATTTATGACGAAATTCGATTTTTAAAATTTTTTACTGGACATGTTTAATAGAAAAAGGCAAACATATTGTTATTTTCTCAAAATTGTCGATCTTTTTATAAAAATAAAAAAAGGCGATAAATAGAAAGAAAGCTCAATTTGTGGGGGAAAAAAGGACGTAAATTTCATTTGGGTGCAGCGTTGCATGAACGCGCAATTGTCAGTTAAAGTAATGCAGCTCCGTATTGCAAAAAATGGCCTGGTCAGGAAGGGGGGTAAATCCTCAGGAGGGCGAGTGGTTAAAAAAAGACCTCTTTAGCACCAGCAGGATGCAAGCTTGCTAATATGT